CACACTCTATTGATGAGGCTTTTCCCAGCTGTAGCCAGTGCAGGTCTGGCAATGAGCCAAGCTGGTATTTACTCCAAAGTCTACACTGCACGCCAAATCATAATTCGCGAGAACGACTTGGCTTCTGTCGTCCAGACTTCTGGGCCACTGCGGCGATTACTACGCAACCTGAATGCGTCTTTGATAGCTCCAATGCTCGCCGCTCCAGACCCGGATCTCTGGCTGTCTGGTAGGAATCGCCTTTGAGCATAGGGACTTGATAAATTTTGAAGCCGGCCTACCCACGGAAAAGCTCGTTTCCTTCTCTTCCAGTGGCTAAAGTTTGATGCAATTATGGGACGAAGTCAGCCTCATCAGGAAATCACACCGATGCGCAGCGTCACAGAACGCCGACTCTCTCGTCTCAGGCCCCCTTCTCGGCCGACACAATGAAAATAAGTCTGGCCATACACCATTTTCACCACCCACCATTAGTAGCAAATAATATTATCACCACTTGGCATGCCGTTGAGGCTTATATCCACACCAAGAGATTCATCCTTCGAGATCGATGTAACTTGACACTGAACCCGTGTGATAGGCATTCCCATGTCTAGCACGTCAAAACAACGGCAGTGCATGATTGGAAGGGTCGCAATAAGATGTGCCGATCCGTAGTCGTACCGGAAGATCTCGCTAGTATCCAATGCGAAGTTGCACGCGGGATGTTGAAGATACCCGCGCGCCAACATACCGACGAGATACAGCCTCACCATCGCCCAGCGGTGGGCCTTGACATTATCCAAGGCATTCATCTCGGGAATTTCTCCAACTTTTGTTTCTGTCTGGGGATCTCGCCTTCGGTAAAGGAAGCCTTGACCTTGTCTTGCTTGTCTTCCAAGACGACGGATAGGTGGCGCTTTGGCCCGCCGCGAAACGCCTCCGCGTTTCGGCGTCAAAGAGGGGACTACCCAGACTCGGGGAGCTCGAGGCTCCGCCTGGCCGAGTCTCGTCAGCCAATGGGTTTCATTCCTCGATCGCAAGTTGCTACAAATTGGAAGAGCTCAGGGAGGCCGTCATGAAATTACCAATACGCTTGTCGATAGGAGAATCTGTCATTATCCACCAAGGCCAAGGCTCCGTAAGGCTTGTTGTAGACACCCTTGTCATCTCGCTTCCGTTTTATGATATCCTCTTGACCCCTTTCCCTTTACTCAAATGAGTGTTCTTCTGATGGACTCAACTTTTCATCTCGTTGTGGCTAGACTGCAGTGAACCGTTGGAGATTGAGGATCAATTGCCTCCAAATACATATCCTGAGACGCCACAGAATGTTTCCTACGAGCGGGAAGCTCTGAGGTCGTACGACGAAACCTGCAGAGAAATTGAGTGACAGCCACTCGAAGGGTTCAGGTTGTTGTAGACAATAATACCGATGAAGTTCAAAACGCCGCACGTCAGATGAATATTGAAATCTGAGCTACTCAGAGGCCAGAGGTGGCCTTTTCTCGTGGGACCTGACATCGTGATCAGACGTGCCAGGATACTGCGGGCACTAGGAAACACTAGGCGCATCCCCCCGGTTCCGCGGCACACGAGACCAGGCTAGAATAGCACAAGAGCACGAGGGCGTCAGGGATACTAGAGGTAGCATTGCAGATGTCAACGATCAAGGTCCAAGACCCCGCGCAGAAAGCCCGTGTATTCCTACCTTTCGGGGTGTTCTGCTCCAGAAATGGCACGGACACTGCCTTGAGAGATGGCCTTCAGCAGGGTCTTCGCGTGTGTACACAGCATTCGAGCCAAGCTTTGGATTTTTGACACTAACACGAACTAAGGAATCTTGGCAGTTGGATCTATAAGGCCCTGTTAGTGGCCTTCGTTAGGGTTCTCTATGTGATTCTATGTCTGTATGAGAGAGTCTCACGTAGGCTGGGGTTCTCAGTCCACATTCGGAGGTCGGAACTTTTTCGTTACGAATACAGCAGTATTGACGCAAGTGAGTACGAATGTATGGAATAGGATTACGACGTTGTTTACGAAGCTGTCAGCAAGTTCAATTGCTTTCCGACAGTGTATCTCTGGGCACATTGTTGCGTATGGCGTTGGTGGATCGATCAAGGTAGACCATACATCCCCCGATGTCTACAACGTCTGATGCCAAGCCACCAGGAAACATGTTGGATCAGAACCCCACTGCCAAGACCTTTGCAGCTTTCAATGTGGAGGTCAAAGAGCTGTCATTTGGTGACATCCAAAGCTTCATCAAAGCAAGCTAACAACTTTCCCACATCCCGCACTTGGCTAAAAATGGGGCTTCAAGTGATTGCTCCATAATCAAAACTACGGGAACACCGGATCAGGATTTTGTTGCCCACAACAGCTCTTGTGGATCTGGTCTTGTGGAGGCGACTGTCGCCCGCGCGTTTGATGACGAGGGGTAGGACGGAGAAACAACCTAATGAGGATATTTCAACAAGCTGTAGCCTAGGAATTTGATCATGGGAAAGAGCACCTATCCCCCGTACATTATCGTCAGCCTCACGATTTGTATCGATGCCGGGCCGAAGGAGCGCATGTTCTAGGCCGAGGATGAATCTTCACCACGTTGGACATCACTTCTTGCCCCCTACCAAAAAGACTACATCGCCGTATTGGCCGATCGCAGCTGGAAAACACAAAGAGCTTCCTCTGCCACCTTGTCTCTTCTCTTCACTGCCAAGGACCTTGCTTACATCTAACGCCTGATTCCAAACAGAACATGACTATGCCAAGGTCGTCCATGATGCCAACGGCGATCAGTACCAGGCTAGGTTCGGGCTGCTTAAACATCAATGAGATGATAGAAGCGGAAGTCATCGGATTCTTTTTTTTAACTTGCTAATTCACTACGTGTGCCACTACTATGCAAATAATGATGTTACATTTGGTGTTGGACGCCGTGGAGCTCTCTAGTACCGTCTTTCAGATGACCGCTTTGCCACTGACTCGCCTGCTCAATGCGACGTTGCGAAAATGAGACCATCTCTTGGCATGAATGAAATACTGTATGAGGTGAGGATCGAAAGCTTTCGGGAGATTTTCTAAACGGTCAAGGAGAGGAGAACAGGGCCGCCACACCGCGGACGGGAGTCTCACCACAAACGTAAATTTTGTAGTGTGTGCCTGGTCTCATCTGATGTGTGATACACCAACTGACTTGTGCGACGGACCTGACCCCGACCTTCAATTTGACGTCACTTGTTCAATGGAAAGCGGCAAAGAATAATCCGCAGGTGGACTTGACTGTCCTCCGTTAGCCTCTCTTCGGAGGTCGGTGCCCTGAGCAAGGCCGAGCGTCTGGAAGGGAAGGCTGAACTCGCCCAGTGCTTGGTCGTGATCCAACAGCAGTTCCGATTCGCCACAGCTCTTTGTTTGTGGTTTCAGCCCACCGGAACGACGGTCATACTTCCGGTCCATTTTCGATGTGTACGGTCCCGTCAGATTATTGCCACGTTGTCCGATGCTCAAGGCCTCTTCATGGTGAGCATCGCGACTTTAGCCTCATGAATTCAGATATTCCGGCTGATATTGTTACAACGGATATCACGGCTGCAGAATACATGGTATTGTTGGCAAGTGATGCCAATACCGAGACCGAGAGTGATCGGTGCATTTTTTTCATAGAGTTGAGCTACGTTCAATCGTCAAAGAGCTTTCGAGAGTTGTCAACTTAGTCCGAGTAACCAAAGTTAGCAAAACCGGAAGACGGGTAAAACGGCTAGCCGGTCTGTCCATCATCAATCCTAAATTCCATAGTGTTCTTCAACATGAACTTACGACTTCGGCAATAATTAAAGACTTGTGTCTGACCGCAGCTTTACAAGGAAACGATAGACGCAGTCCTAAAAATCGTGTCTCCTGCAATATGGCAAGTAGTTACCTCAATCACCTTGCATAATTACGTCCTGAGCGCATGAACTTCATCATCTACGTTAACGATCTGTATTTGATTGGTCTATCTATCATTTCACATGGTCTAGCTACGCAGCTGTCAAAGTGTCGAGAAAATACCAATAAGCTTTCTTCATGAGGGTTCCCCGGCCGAGTTCTTTCCAGATTACAGAGGCTCCATGTAATCTTCCCACGCGGAGTTTCATCCCCATTGATTTGTCCGAGGATTCAGATTGACATTGGAATGTCGATGAAAGGTAGCTCATGTTAATCAATTACTTTCGTTTAGGACTTAGGATTTGCCAAGTCACTGAGCCTTCTTGATTTCCCTGGAATCAAGCTTATTCATATATTTCCAGATAATGTGAAGGATCAACAACCTGGAAGTTTGGCCAATCGGCAGACGAGAGTGTTTCCGTCCCTCCTGCGTAGATATTGGCTTCGCGCATAGAAGAATGGAGAATTCCGTTCATTGTAAGCTGTTTGCCTTTACTGAGCAAGAACTCATATATCGCCCGAGACTTGGTCAAGCAGGGCGCAAGGCCCTCAGGCATGACCAAGTTCTCAACTATTTGACATTCGAAACTTACTGAATCGACGTCAAGACACCAGGCCAACTTGGCTTGTGGCTCAAAACCGCAACAAAACAATCTGGAGATGAAAAGATCTGTCCGCAGGAGTATATATACACTAGAGATATCAAAATAAAACCTGATCAAAAACATACAACACCAGGTATTCGCTGGTCGTCACCGACCCAACTACTAATCCGGCCCTTATTGGCTTATCTATGGGAGAGCGGACGGGATCCCGAGTTTTCCAATAGGTATGGTCGTATGTGGTGGGTGGAAGAGATCGTAGGACTATTGAAGCCATCCAATACTGAACGAGATCGAAACATTCGTCGTGATGTGGCCCTCCACATACAAGAGCGTCGAACACTTCAATCAGAACACAAGCTAGATTCTCACGTCGTAGCTCTCCGGAGATATCGGGAGCGCCTCAAATTCACCAGAGTGATATTATTAAGTTGGAACGATCGCAGCATCGTGTCCCAGGAACACACAACTCTTGGATTAAAACGTTATCTAGCAGCTTTGATCCTCAGCAGAGCTCTCAGGTTCAGCTGTTTCGTTTGAACCAATGGATTTCTTTGGGGATTTTCGTATTGGAATAAACATTATTCGGGTATGTCGGATAAGCGTATATATTTCCTTGTACCTTAGCGTCCACGAAGATTCTCCGAGATCGTACGAGAAACCCATAGTTAGGCCAACAGCCATTCCAACAGTCTATCGTTCATCGGCTTTGGTGTCCCTCATCACCTTCTTTCTCTCTCAAAAGCAGACACAAAAGTCTCGCAAGTAAGTTCAATGTTGCCAACATTGAAAAATTGAATCCGATTAGTGTGAATTTGGAAGCCTCGCAGGGCCTAAGGTGCTGCTCCCCTCGAATCATGGCACCTTGAGCGAATGAAAAGCGGCACGGCAAGGGCAATCTAAAGTTGGATTCTACGCCGCAGTTCATCGAGTTACTCATCCTTGCCTCCTAGTTCCAAAAGATTGTGCTGGTGAGCCTTGCGGGAACTTACCCGATTTTCGAGTGGTCTTGGCATTCCATTCCAAACTCGTCCAGATCGCAGTGCATCCGGATTTGAATCTACTTACAACAATAGAGTGTTGACATGTGGGTCAGCTATTTTGTATTCCCCTGCAATAGGATGCTGCGCTGACGATCCAACTTCAGCTCCTGCAACTTCCAGTTTCCTATGCGCATATCTTGCCAGATATGATGAACGCCAAAGTGAGGCGACCAAGTCCATGATATATTGCTCATTGTCGATCTTAATCAGGAAAGAGAAGGCGAGATGTCTTGAAGCGCCCTGGTCGATATTTGACTCAGCAGCCTCGAACCAACGAGCACCAAATAGGGTGTCAGGACTTTTCAGTGCCTGTTAGCCTCCTCGAGATTTCGCATCCTTAAAATTGTTTGTCTTAAGGAGAATGAAATTTCCATCGCTTACTACAAGTTCCGACCTCAGACATCTCGCCAAAATCTTTGAGCACAACATCCGCGTCCTTGGCAAACCTCGATGAAAATTCTGGGAAGGGCACTAATCAGTTCATTGAACATGTTTTAGGTCATCTTTCCAGCCGGGCTGGTCAGAACCCTGATAGTGTACCGCGCACCCCCACCGAACTGATCAGAGTCATTGTGGAATACTGTATCAGTGCGTACAGAAGACCGGGCGAGAGGGATCAACGCCAGAAAGATGATGAGAAGGTCAACGCGGGAGGCTAGAAACGGGCAGTACCTTCAATTCGCCAGATGTTCTCCGACTATATCAACAACATTGTTCGTGACCATGTGTAGCCTCATTGCAAATACCAGGACTAACTATATGTATACGCGCAGGGACGAGAAGAAGCGGTCTTGTTTCGCCACCTAGCTATCGTGCAAAGTGATCCAAAAGCCCCCTTGAGTTCGAGAAAGGCACAAAAAAGGCTGCGAAGCTTCTATACAACATCAAGGGTGCCTGTGACGAGTTGAACATTCTTAGAACCATCGCCAATTATCAACAGGGGGTACAGAAGAAATTGATTAATCCTGATTATAGACGCACCCAGTATACTCCTGCCACTTGGGAGGATGAGACGGCAGCGTATGGACGACATTGACGAACTCGACCAGCTTGCCACGAAGACCGAAGACGCCGTACGTCAATTTTGTCAACATAGACGACGGTGGTTGCTGATCTCTGCATGCTTTGTAGTTGAAAACTACAATCACGATTCTCAAGAGCGGAACCGCAAATGAGCAGGGCAAAAAGGTGATGGTCTTTACACTTGTCACCCGTCTTCTTTGTGACTTTTGATTTGTTGATGCCTTGACCAATTCCGAATTCTTTGCTAAACGGGTAATTAGCTGCCTTTGTCATTCCTCAGCTCTCTGTTTGCGCTAGACGTAGAGAAGTTCCTCGAAGCCCCTGGGTGGTCTCTGATCATTATGTATAGGGCCCTCTCTCTATTTATCGATTGCGTTATGCTCACACTACCACACTAGTTATCGTCCCTCTGCCCTTTGTCCTTGTTACGTACGGCCATGTGAAAGGTCGAGATCCATTCACACTTTACTTGTTGGACAAGGGAAATAGAATCGACACAGTGATGAGAGAAATGCATGCTCACAGGCGTCGCAACAGGACTACAACGGACCAATCAAACAATGTGTATGGAGATTGCAGTCTTAGTTCTTAAGGACGCGAAAGGGAACCCAAACTCTCTGGTTCCTTGGATAGTACCTTTGTAGTGGTTCAACGAAGGCGAGAACGTCATTTAGCACTATGGCGAGTGATGGATGTAGAAGGCGTAAATCCATCTAAGGTTTCATCCCTGTGTTGCAGCTCAGTCATTGATCAGATAGGAAGTATTAGTACGAGGTCTTCGCGCAATTCATAACTACTTCTGAGAGTTAAACAATTGCTTGAAGAATCAAGCAATGAGTTCTCCGGGGCTGCTTCTACCCTTCGTAGGAAGTCATAACTAAGAAGTATTGTATAAAGAAATACATAGAATGTCAAACGTGAGACGCGTTCGTCGATGTGGACGAAAGATGGTTTGCTTAGTCGTTTTCATGGACGCCTGTAAGCCAATTGGGAACCGGTCTACACTAGGTCGTGTGGGGTAGGAAAGCTCTGGGGAAATTTTCAATGCAAGGCATCTGTGGCGGGCCCAGTGCTCTTCAAGAAATCGCAGCCAAAGGCTCACGCACTACTGGACTTCAACAAAGTTCCCCCCGGTTACTAGCCCACGATGGGGCAATACGATCGCAAAGCCAAGTCGCAGCCGAAACATGGGAAATCCTCAGACAGCGGTGCGTCGAAGGCGCCACCGCCGTTGTCTCACGGCCGCCCGGGCTGGACTGGGCCTGGGTACCTCCACAAGAAGAAGAAGCCTCAGCGTCCATCTGCAGCATCGGAATCAGCAGAGCCGCGGAGGCTGAATCACATCCTCCCGGTGGGACTGGAACAGCTAATGATCAACGTCTTTCGCACCACCTTCCCCGCGTGCAACGACTTCGAGGCTCTGAAGCCGAGGCTGCAAAAGATCAATCGCGCGTTGCTCTCGGGGGAGTTTGACATAGCCTTTGGAAAGGCCGAATATCTGGAGGCGTATGCGATCCGTTGGAGCCCTAGCCGTGCGCTGGCGTACGCGCAACTCATGGCTTGGATCTGTGAGGAGATGGCTGATGACGCTTACGTCCAACGATTTATTGGCTGTGACAGCGATCGTGAGCAGAAGGCAGCCAAGGTTGTATGTTTCGGGGGTGGTGCAGCTGAAATCATGGCTTTCTCGGGTCTTCTTCGTCATGTGCAACCATCAGCCGCAGCCGGCAGGCCAGAGTTATCTCCGAATTATGAGGGTACCTCGAAAGATCTACAAGCCCTGCCAGTTCCAGAGCGTGAAACCTCACCAACACTCCTCAATATTGACCTGATCGACACCGTGGACTGGTCTGTTGTGCTCTCGAAGCTACATGAATGTCTCGAGACCCCTCCGACGCTCTCAAAGTATGCCAGCGCTGCGGCTCGTGCGTCAAATGCGTCGTTCCTCTCGCTCGGGACTGTTCGCCATACTTTCACGCGCGCTAATGTGCTGAGTTATAGCACGGAAGACCTTCGCGCGGCTATCGGTCCTGTTCCCGCGCTGCTTACGCTTCTCTTCACCCTGAATGAGCTTTACGCAGCCTCGATATCACAAACTACCTCTTTTCTACTCAGGGTAACGGAGGCTGCTCCCAAGGGGAGCTTATTGCTTGTGGTGGACAGTCTTGGTGCATACTCCGAGCCCGCTGTCTGCAATAGCAAGGAAGGGGAAGAGAAAAAGAAGTATCCGATGAGTCATCTCATGAACTACGCCCTTATGCCAAAACCGAAAAAGGAGGCTGTGGATGTTGATTCTGAAGGTGGAGAAGACAAGTCAACTCCTGCATGGGAAAAGGTCATTTCTGAGGATAGCGTCTTGTATGGGTTGCAACGGGATCTAGAGTATCCGGTCAGCCTGGAGAACATGAGATTCCAGGCCCACTTATTCAAACGTGTATGAGCATGGGAGAATCTCTCCTGCGCCTGCTCAAGTCGATGTACTGGTGCTGAGTGTTAAGGCAGACTGGCTTGATGTAAGTAGCTTCTCAATTTCTACTGCAGCCTCGGGGCTTCAGGTGGTTGATAAGAGAGTTGTCGATCCGACCACAACCACATCACAATCACGACCGAGAAACTAGGTCAAAGACAGAAACTCAATTCAAACTACCCAAGGCCCTCTTCTTTCGCGCGTTGATATGTTCGCACAGTATGACCGGTGTTTCCGCAAGGTAGACGCCACACCGTCGTTAGCCCGTCTCGAATCGCGGCTGGCAACTACTAGTTAGAGGGCGTAAGTCCTTCCAAGGTATCAATTGAGCATGTCATAGTTATCTTTCTACATGACAATGAATAATACCACTTGGAAGCTCCACGACGGAAGAGGTTGTTAGAACTGAGCAAAACTGCTTCTCGTATTCCTAGATTTGGACAGTCGCCACAAGAGTTCGAAACGTACCTGCCTCTTGCCTTGTTATATTCATGTTCTGCTTCGAAATCAGTCCGCGCCAGAATCCAGTGCCTCCACAGACCCTGAAGCTGCGTGTGTTGCTTTGTTACACTATGGCCATCGTCTGTCGGTAGGGTGCCATAAACCAGCGAAATGTCAGAGATCTTCACGACAAGGCCTGACTTCGGGTCTCGGAGTAGATTCCCCGGCAACAAAAAGAGGGTTTCGCGAATAGATAGGGCGGAAACCGAACGGGGATTCGCAAACATGGTAAGCATGGTGTCTGGTCACTTGCATCATGGTTGCACATTTCATCCGCGTATCTTTACGTTCCGAAACTAGCCATCTCCTTGCCCCGCCAAGTAGTGCTATTGTAGATCTCGGGATCGCGATACGTTGGGTTACTCCCGCTGACAAGCTCGGATAGCTCCGGTCCTTGTCAGTCGCTCACTTCAATCCCCCGTTTTCATAATCATCTCGAATGATCAATGGACTTATTCGCCTTATCTGCATGCAGGAGTGTCCTATTCCAGTTCTGCTGACATGTCGCCACCCCCAGATGAACAGCAACCACTGAACACCTCGGTCAAATGAAATGCGAAGGCCTTTTCGGGACAGCACATAAGAGTGCAGAAGCTACAAGGCACGTAGAAATTATAAATAAATCTTCCCGGACTGCACTGCGGGAACTCTTGACCAAAGATGATCAAGGCGGCCATCTTCATTCTTCTCGGCGGCATCGCCGCAGCCATCAACCTGACAAGCCAAGATTTCCGTATAAGCATCAACGACAACACCGGCGCAATCGACGAAATCACTGATCCGCACTTCGAACATGTCATGAACTGGGTTAGTACCGGCTCTAACGCCCCCTGGCTTCCAGCCGGCAGTCGTTGGGGTCTAGGCTATGCAGACCTGGGCCAGGACTCCCTCCACCGTAACTTCTGGAATTCCCCCCAAATCACGAAGCACGACAACGCCATCAACGCAGTCTACAACGCCGGGCCCTTGGAACTTTCCGTCAGCCGAAGCATCAACCACGCGAATCAATCCTTCACTGAATCCTACACTTTCACAAACAAAGGCGCCACACCTCTCAAACTGGACAGCCGAGGAACAACGTCTTTAGCCATCTACACTCCTTTCAATGACCATTACACAAATACGAGCGATTGCGTCGAGGCGCGCTCGCATGCTCATGTATGGGCGTTTGGGGGTGCCTCTTGCTGGGTTAAGCTGAACCAAATGGGCGGTAAATATCGGAATCTTGGATTTGTCTTGACGCAAGGCGCGTTGGTGGGTTACAGTATCGAGGCCCGCGACCCAGTTACGCTGTCCAACACGCGAGGCGTGTTCCTACTTCACCCTTCCCTTCCAACTCTGGAGCCAGGTGCGTCGAGCACAGTCGCGTGGAGGTGGTTCTGGCATAGCGATTGGGACGATTTCTTCAAAAA